TCACTGCGTTTTTGGTCCTGCCCTTCCACATGTAGGGCTGAGAACCGGTTTGAAAATTCCTTCAAAGAAGGGTACAGGGGTCTCCTTGAGACCCCCTCTTTGTGGTCATCCCCACAACACAGACAGGCACAGAGAACCACCAGAAAGACAAACCACAAAGGAAGCAGCAATGCAAACAACCAATAGTCCATAGTAAAAAACAGCATACCTAGGGATACTTACCGACGTCTCCTCTCCGTGTGTTGAGTTCTGGCTCCTGTTCGACCTCTTGCGCAGGTCCCGGGTTTCGGCACCACTTGCGGCGAACGCCTTCTTGGCCAGCGAGGAAGAACGACCACCACACCAGGAGTCTTCTCAGATCACACTTTATTGGAGAGCCTTTTAGTTGAAGGGAAAGCTTGAGCGCAAGAGAGCGAGCAAGGAAATACAGCCGCTTATATAGGGTTTGGAACACGGGTCGCTTCAGGATTGGCTGTCCGCCTTTACCGTCACCAGGTGCCACGGGATTGGCTCAGGATTTACAATGATGGCGCATGCGCAAAGCTAGGGACCCGCAGCCCCGCCAAGCACTTGCCTAATATGGAGTCGTTTATCTCTAAGCTGAAAGGAAGTGGGCGCCATCTTGTAATGGCGTTTGTCCCGGCTCCCTGCATCAAACCACAACAAAGCCATAGTAATGAAAACAGCTTAATACTGGCAAAGAAATAGACCTGAGGACCAATAGAACATAAGATCCATAATTGATTCTACAGTCCTATACCCAAATAATATTTGATAAGGGAGTCCAAATCATAGGCTAGAAAAAAAATAGCTGTTGCTGGAAAAACTGGATATCCACATGCAGAAATTTGAAACTGGGTGCTTATATATCATCTTGTACCATCATCAATTCAAAATGTATCAAAGACCTCAATGGAAGACCAGAAAGCATGAAATTATTATGGGAAGGAGTAGGAAAACCTCTAGCACTTCTTGGCACAAGTAATAATGTCTTAAAGACCCAGAAGTACAGCAGAACAAAGACTTCATAAGTGGGATTGTATCCAACTCAAAAATTTCTGCACACCAAAAGACATAGATAGCAACATAAAAAGAAAGCCTACAGAATGTGAGATTTATACTGGCTATACCTCAGATAAGATCTAATATCCAAAATATACTTAGAGCTCAAAAACTTAAACACTCAAAAATTAAATGCTCAAAGAAACAAAAACCCAACTTCTTTTCAAAAGAAGTGAGAATGGCTAATAGACATATGAAGAAATGTTCAACATCTCTAGCTAAATGTAATGCAAATCAAAACAGCACTGAGATTCCACCTCACCCCAATGAGAATGGCCATAATCAATTAAACAAGCAATAACAAATACAGTCAAGGATGTGGCCAAAAGGGAGCTCAAATACACTGTTGGTAGGAATGTAAGCTTGTTCAACCACTCTGAAAAGCAGTGTGGAGATTCCTCAAAAAAAACCATAGAACTACCCAGCAATTCCACTCCTGGGCATCTATCCAATAGAACACAAACAAAAGCTGTAAAACAGCCAACACAATCATGTTCATTGCTGTACTATTCACTGTAGCCAAAATACAGAATCAGACCAGATGACCCTCATGAATGAATGGATTAAGAAAATGTGGTACACATACCCAATGGAATTTTATGCATCCCTTAAAGAGAATGATATTATGGGCTGGTAGAGTGTTGCCTTGCATGCATGAGGCCCTGGATTCAATTCCTCAGCACAACATAAACAGAAAAAACTGGAAGTGGTACTGTGGCTCAAGTTGAGAGCTGAGGGACAGCACCTAGGCCCAGAGTTCAAGCCCCCAAACCGCCAAAAAAAATTATATTATACAGTTTGTAAGGGAATGTAAAAACTTGGAAAGAATCTGTTAAGGAAATAAGACCCAGAGAAACATAGGTTGTATGGCTTCTCTCATAAGTGGTAGATACAATATGCCTATAAATCTATAAGTAAAGACACTGGATGGTATGCAAGGAGGTATAAATGAATTAACTGAATTATAGTAGATGCTATGGAGAGCCTAATTGATAACTTTTTTTAAGACTAAGTCAAATCCTAGTAAAATAAGCACCAAGAAACAGGTACTTGCAAGGGGAGGAGAGGACTTGGATCAAAGAAACAGGACATAGGTAAACAATGAAGGAGGGAAGTGGAGGAAAGTAGTCAAAAATTATTTTATATACCACAAAACTAAGAAGAGTAAGAGAAGTGGGTGGAAGGGAGGTGAGAATGTTGAAGTGGGTGACCCAGATCAAGATTCATTATATTCATAAACTGATTTGTTAAATGTTACCTCCCTTGTACAACTACTTAAAAATAATTTTTAAAATGTTGAAAAAGTAAAGAAGAAAGAAAGGAATAGGTGGAAGAGAAGGGAGAAAAGCATGTACTGTGAAATCCAGCTTGCCAATTAGTCAGAGAGATCTTTCAAAAAATCAGATCAATGCAAATGGTTAAAGACAGGATCCTGAGGGAGAGCTAGGGAAGAGTAGGGGATGTTTTCTAAATATAATGGTGTTAAAAGTTTGGTATTAATTTACCACCTTTCATTGTGTTTTGTTTTTGTTTTCTTGTAGCTTTATGTTTTTGGAGGGAAGTTTTATTTTTATTTACTCAGTAGAAATCTTCAGAAGCATGTGAATAAAATAATTTACTTTGCTTTTTTGTATTTTTTATTACATTACATCATGCCTCATCCTTTCACCCCCCCCCTCCTTCTTATTTTTATTTTCCTTATATTTCTTCAGTGGTGTTGGTACCAGGTACATGGTCAGGAATTTAGGCAAACTGATTTTGTTAAATCAAACCTCTGAGAGAAATGGAATTTTAACTTCTCAAACGTTGAAAAGTGAAGCTGAGTTTCCTTTGACTATCCATTTTCTGGGTTTAACAGGAACATGGATCTCAAGAATTTAAATATGATGAGAAAGTCTGCCCTACTAAGATTTTTCTCACCCCAAACAGGAAAGTACCATACCAGAAATTTCACAAGAAAGTCTGCTCTCATGAGACTCGCAGCCAGACATCTAACAATTTTGATAAGGTTCAGAAGAGCTTCAATCAAAAAGCTTTCAAATACTTGTCCCAAGTGACCCCATAGATCCCTTTGAGAGTCACCCAACACCACTTCATAGTTCCCATAAACACTTGGACCTTTCCCTGTGAAAGCTGACAATTTTCCCGAAAGTCCTTACATACCACACTAAGCCTCATCTTGCCAAATGTGCTATCTCAGTGGAAACTGCTGGAACTTTCCAGACAATTTTATGCTAAAAGCAAGAGGAAAAAAAGTGCCTCAGTCATTAGTGTCACTGTTTCCTGAGATTGACAGTACCTACACTTTGCATATGTTATGCGGAAAGTATCTTACCTTTTATTTTTTCTCCCCATGTAACTATAACTCTCATAATACTTTGTGAAAAATGTCTTGTAACTATCATAATTACCGATGTCAACACTCCTGTTGATATTCTGGAACTGCAAACATTTCACATCAAATCTCCATGTAAAAAAAGGACTGTTCACCTCTACTTTGTAAATTAGCTCTATGATTTATCTGTGGGAAACATTTCAAAAAATATAGATTCAGAAAGACATCTACCACATGATGGCTTTTCCATATGGCATCTCATAATTATTTTGCTGCGTGTGAACATGATGAAAACAGTTTCATAATTCTCCAAGGGTCAGAGTAAATTATTTCAATTAGACATATTTCAGAGCAAACATTACCTTAGGGTTTATTAATAATATTACCTGAGAAGGAACAGCTGCCTTTTATGTATAAAAAGCTGTCAACTTCTTACTGCTCCTTACTATAGAAACCCTGTGTGACTTTAAAAAAAATGGCAGATTTTCTCATGCTTCACCTAAACAGAGAACTTGGCAGCAGGGACCTGGTTGTAATCCTCAGCATGGGAGCTAGTGGGTAGATTTTTTTTCTCTATAAACTCTTATATAAACCACACCAGTCTCCTGGTATTTATTCTGGGTAATGCTGGAAATTGTACACAGACCCAATAGCCCATGTAAAGGAGTTTTGTAACTTCCTGAAGTCTTTCATGAAAAATCCTTATTCTAAATGCAATTCCAGAAAGAGGGAATATCATAGGAGCTTAAAAGGAAAGGCTATTCTTTTGTCTTTTCCTCCTCATCCCTGGAGCATTACAAATATGGAGTAGGTCAATTTAAGCAACATAATAGCCACAATTAATATGACACTAATTAACCTATATTGAAAATTCAGTGCTCATTGAAATGGCTTCTGAAATAACTCACATGGCTAGCTATATGAGCAATAATTAAGGATTAGAATTTTTCTATATCCTGCACGTTACTTTCTATGGGGTAGTTGGAACTACATAATGCTATAATTCATCAATTAAGCTTGGTTTTGTTATTAACACTGGCCTCCATGAACATATGCATTGAAAGTTCTCAAGGCATAGAAGCCTATGATGTGGTGGCTGGGAAGGTGGCTCAGTGGTAGAGTGCTTGCCTCTCATGAATGAGACCCTGGGTTAGATTCCTCAGCAACACATAAACAGAAAAAGCTGTAATTAGTGCTGTGGCTTATATTGTAGTGCACTAGTCTTGAGCTGAAGAGCTCAGGGACAGGTCCCAGGCACAGAGTTCAAGTCCCACAACCAAACAACAACAACAAAAATCTATGATGTGAATAAAAAACAATGTAAAATACTTCCCCATGTCCACTACTACAGGTCTTTCTTGCCACTGCAAGATAATAACTGTAATGGCAAAGATTAAAATAAAGAGTGATGACTTTGATAAGGACTCTGAATTAACAAATCTTGCTTTTGACAAAATCTTTTTTTTGGGGGGGGGGGGGTGGGTTCCGGTCATGGGGCCTGAACTCTGGGCCTGGGCACTGTCCCTTAGCTCTTCAGCTCAAGGCTAGCACTCTACGACTTGAGCCCCAGTGCCACTTCCGACTTTTTTTCTTTTTGCTTATGTGGTGCTGGGATTCGAACCCAGGGCCTCATGAATGCAAGACAAGTGCTCTACCACTGAGCCACCTTCCCAGCCCCAAGAAAATCTTTTTAAAGAAAATATCTATTAATCTTTGTAGAACTGACAAACAGTTTGTTATTTTTATTGGTGTTGATGTTTTCTTTTGTTTGTTTTCTTTTTGTGGAAGTTTGGATGAAAGCTGATGTGATAGGTGGTAAAATTAGTAAATTGGTCAAAACCACTTCAAATATTGCTTTTTTTTTGTTGGTACTGAAACTCAATGACGCTTTAAATTTTTAGCAGATCCTAGCAAGGATCATACTTGTATTATTAAGAGCATATATACACGAAGCTAGGAATAAGGATTAAGCCACTAAATATATCAAGGAAATCGGGGAGAAGAAGAGGATTTATCAGAAAATTGACTGACACTTCCTAAGTTCTGCTATGATTTCCTTTTTCAGGTTTTTAAAGTTTTCGTCATAAAGGTCTTTCACTTCTTTAGTTAACTCCTGGGTATTTTATTTTTTTGTGGGGCTATTACGAATGGAGTTCCTGATTTCAGCCATGCTTTTCTAATTGTTGACATACAGAAAACCCATTGATTTTTGAGGTTAATTTTATACGCTGCTACTTTGCCAAGGTTTTGAATCAGCTCAAGTAATTTGGGAGTAGAGTCTGTGGGATTCTTTAAATACAAGATCCTGCCATCTGCAAATAGGGAGATTTTGACTTCATCTTTCTCTATTTGGATCCCCTTTATGTTTGCATCTTGTCTTATTGTTGTAACTAGGCACTCTAATACTAAATTGCAGAGAAGTGGAGAGAGTGGACATCCGTGTCTCATTCCTCAGTTTAGAGAAAATGACTTTAACATTTTGCCATTAAGTATAAGGCTGGCTGTAGGTCTGTCATATATAGCCTTTATTGTATTGAGGAATGTTCCCTGGATTCCTAGCTTTTCTAGAGCCTTCATCATAAAGGGGTGTTGAATCTTGCAAATGCTTTTTCTGCATCTATTGAGATAATCATATGGTTCTTATCCTTGCTCTTGTTGGTGTGATGAATTATATTACTTGATTTGCGTATATTGAACCAGCTTTGCATCCCTGAAATGAATCTTGTTTGATCATGATTTTTTTGATGAATTATTGAAGTCAATTGGCCAAAATTTTGTTGAGAAGTTTTGCATCAATGTTCATCAAAGAAATAGGTCTATAATTCTTTTTCTTTCATGAGTCCCTGCCTCGTTTTGGGATGAGGGTTATGATGGCTTCATAGAATGTGTTTGGTAGTTAACTTTCTCTTTCAATTTCATTGAAGAGTTGGAGGAGTATTTGTGTGAGTTCTCCTTTGAAGGCCTTATAGAATTCTGCTGTAAATCCATCTGGTCCTGGATTTTTTTCTAGATTGGAGGTCCCTTATTGCTGTTTCTATTTTGATGCTTGATATGTGTCTGTTAAGTTGGTTTAACTCATCCTGGTTTAGTTTAAGCATGTCAATATTTGCTAAGAAATCGTCCATTTCTTCTAGATTCTCAAACTTATTAACATAAAAGTTTGAGAAGTATTCCCTTATAATGTTCTGAATCTTAGTTGTTTCTGTGGTGATGTTGCCATTCTCATCTCTGAGTTTGTTTATTTGGGTGTGTTCTCTTCTTTTTCTGATAAGATTTGCTAAGGGTCTGTCAATTTTGTTAATCATTTGAAAGAACCAAATCTTTGTTTTGTTGATTCTTTCTACTTTTTTTTTGGATTCTAATTCATTCAATTCTGATTAAATTTTAATTATTTCTTTCCATCTACTGGATTAGGGTTTAGTGTTATTTTTTTTTTTTAAGAAGCTTCAGATGTCTCATTAAATTGTTGGTTTCAGATCTGTCCAATTTGTTGATGTAGGAATTCAGGGCTATAAGCTCTAGTACTGCCTTTGCTGTGTCCCAGAGGAGATGGTAATTTGTGTGTTCATTTTTGTTGAATATCAGGAACATTTGAATTTCTTTTCTAATCTCTTTCATGACCCACTGTTGGTTCGACAGTGTGTTGTTCAGCCTCCATGTGTTACCGGACTTTCTTTGGTGGCTTTTGGTGTTGAGTTCTAATTTTATTCCATTGTGGTCTGAGAGAATGCAGGGCATAATTTCAATGTTTCTGAATTTGGACAAATTTTCTGTGTGACCCAAAATGTAGTCTATTTTGAAAAGTGTTCCATGTGCTGCTGAGAAGAACATGTATTCTGATGCTGCTGGATGAAATATTCAGTAGATGTATGTTAAATATAGTTGATCTATGCAGTTGTTTAGATCTGCGCTTTCCCTGTGGAGTTTTTGTCAAGTTGGTCTATCTAGTGGGGATAGTGGTGTGTTAAAGTCCCCAACAATTAATGTCTTTGGATCTATGTGAGATTTGAGGGAAAGTTGTATTTCTTGGATAAATTTAGGTGCTCAGTTGTTTGGTAAATAGATATCTATAATTGTAATATCCTCCTGAAGGAGATATCAATTAATTCATATGTAGCCACCTTCTTTATCTCTTCTCACTAATTTTGATTTGAAGTCTATTTTATCTGATATTAGGGTGGCAACTCTGGCCTGTTTATGGGTGCCATTTTCTTTGTAGATTTTATTCCAGCCTTTCACTTTCAGAATTTTTTTTTGGGGGGGGGGCAAAGTGTGACTCTTGAAGGCAGCAGATAGAAGGATCTTGTTTTTTAATCCAACTAGACAGTATATGTCACTTAATTGGAGAGTTAAGTCCATTAATATTGAGAGTTAGGATTGAATGGTGTTTGGTAGTTCCTGCCATGTTATCCTTCTTTTTTTTTTTCCATTGTGAAAATACTGTACAGAGGGGTTACAATTACATGGGCAAGATAAAGAGTACATTTCTTATCAAGCACTGTAGCCTCCTCCTTTGTTTCCCCTTCCCATCCCTTCCCATCCTCCCCCCACTCCACCCAATCCTCCCCGCCCCCCCACCAAAGTTGTGAAGTTCGTTTTCAACATAACGAATTGTATATCTCATTGTTGCAATAGGTCCATCTGTATCCCTATTTAAACGATTTGTTTTTCCCCTTCCCTCCACAAATTATACCGACATCAAATACAGTGAAAGCAGGGGTTATACTGTGGGGGAGGGCATACAAAGCAACAAAGAAATAATCTTATAAATGTGTTAGAAACAATCACATGAAAGAAAAAAAAAAAACATTTGAGTACATATCTTAGGGTTCATTTCCCTAACATCAACTTATCTGACCTTTTCCGCTTGACTCAGATATATACTAGATATTGCAAATAAGGGAAACCATGGGACCTATGTTTCTTTGGGCCTGGCTTACTTCACTTAATATAATTTTTTCCAAGTCTTTCCATTTCCTAACAAATGGACCAATGTCATTCTTTCTGATGGAGACATAGAATTCCACTGTGTATATATACCACATTTTCTTGATCCATTCATCTACTGAGGGCATCTGGGTTGGTTCCATATTTTAGCTATAGTAAATAATGCTGCAATAAACATAGTCGTGCTGGTAGCTTTAGTGTCGTCTTGTTTGTAAACATTTGGGCTGTGACAACTGGGTTCTTCCTATGGTTCTTAGATTCTCAGTTTTAGTGTAGTTTCTTGGCCTTTAATTTGCTCTTCTTGGTTTTCTATGATAAGGCCATCTTTAATTATCTTTTATAGGGCTGGTTTGGTGGAGTTATATTGTTTCAGCTTTATTTGCATTGGAAGGTTTTTATTTGACTTTCTGTTATGAAGGAGAGTTTAGCTGGATACAGAATTCTTGGTTGACTTTGTTTTTATCTTTAGGGCATGGCATACATCATTCCAGGCTCTTCTTGCTTTCATTGTCTCTGCTGAGAAATTTGAGGTTATTCTAATTGCTTTCCCTTTATAGGTGATTGATCTTTTTTCCTTGACAGCTTTAAAGTGATGGTGTGATGTCCTGTTCTGGTCTGGTGTATTTGGGGTTCTAAAAGCTTCTTGTATCTGAATAGGCCTATCTTTCTGCATGTTTGGGAAGGTCTCTTCTAGAATCCTGTTAAATAAATTTGCTAGACCATTAACTTCTGTCTCTAAGTGCTCCTTTACACCCATTATCCTCAGATTAGGCCTTCTGATGGTGTTTTCTAAATGTTGAATGGCTCTATCATATCTCTTTGATTTGTCTTGTATGTTCTTTCTCCGTAATGTCTAGGCTGTCTTCATTCCCAGAGATTTGATCTTCTGCTTGGTCTAACCTACTGTGAAGACTTTCTATTTTGTTTTTTATTTCATTTCCTTCTAATTGGTTGGCTTTGATGGCTTCAAGTTCTTTGTTGGAGTTTTGTATTAGGTCTTGAATGGACTTCTTTACTTTCTTAATTTGTTTTCCAGTGTTTATTCTCAAATCCCTTAGTTGATATACTTGGAACTCAAAACATTAAATCCCCCAAAAACAAATCGTCAAAGAAACAACTGCCCGAATTAAAGAGAAACTTCTCTGAAGAGGAAATAAGAACAGCCAATAGACACATGAACAAATGCTCAACCTCTCTAGCCATAAAAGAAATGCAAATCAAACAACATTGAGATTCCACCTCACTCCTGTTAGAAAGGCTATAATCAAGAACTCTAATAGCAATAGATGCTGGAGGGATGTGGCCAGAAGGGAACCCTACTGCATTGTTGGTGGAAGTGTAAGCTTGTTCAGCCTCTTTGGAAAGCAGTATGGAGGTTCCTCAAAACACTCCACAAAGAGCTTCCCTATGACACAGCAATCCCACTTTTGGGCATTTACCCAAATGATCGCCAAGGCCCTACTAAGTCTTCCAGCATAATTATGTTTATTGCACCATTATTCACCATAGCTAAGATACGGAACCAACTCAGATGCCCCTCAGTAAATGAATAGATCAAGAAAATGTGACACATACACACACACACACACAATGGAATTCTATGCCCCCATCAGAAAGAATGACATTGCCCTATTTGTTAGGAAATGGAAAGTGTTGGAAAAAATTATATTAAGTGAAGTAAGCCAGGCCCAAAGAAACATAGGTCCCATGGTTTCCCTTA